GGTCTCCCCTGGACAAAACTCTGATTCCTTAATCTGATCCAGATCGGAGTTTTCTGGTTTTTTTCTTCTTTTTTTCGATGAACTGAATGAATCTTGCCAAAGCGTGAGCCTGTTGGCCTTGATCCTGCAAGAGGTTTTAGAACGTGCTGAGTTGTAGGTATGTGCAGACGAACCTTTCTGGGAGCGCTTGTGCCTGCAGAGCTAAGAGTCCTGCTCGTTTGAGACTCAGCATCCTGCAGGACTTATCCCACTGGCTGCAAGAACTGTGTCCACAAGAAAGGCAGTATTAAAAGGTTTTCAGTTGAAAAATGCTTATTTTCAGTGTTCAATCTATGCTAGCACATCATCTTAATAAGCTGCTTTCATCAGATTTCATACTGTAAGAAAGGCAGCCTGAATCCACATTTGTTTATATTTATTTAAAATACTTGTCATGTGTTTACATAGCTCCTTTGATCCAGGAAAATCCCCAAACACTTTTGTAAGTTCTGCTTTAAAAGGCCACTTCTTCCAATTTGAATGGAAACCATGTTGGGACTGAAAGATGGCAGCAGATAAAAAAAAAAATGCATGCAAATACAAACTCATAGAATCAAGTAATTAAGGTGAGAAAAAGATCCTCAAATCCAACAGTCCACCTACCACCAGTATTACCCACTGAACCATGTCCCTCAGTGCCACATCCCCACCATTCTTGAACACCTCCAGGGATGGTGACCTCACCACCTCTCTGGGCAGCCTTTGCCAGTACATGACTGCTCTTTCTGAGAAGAAATATTTCCTGGTACCCAACTTGAACCTCCCCTGGAGCAGCTTCAGCATCACCAGAACTGAGCCAGTCCCCTGCCCTCAGAATACGCCAATTTTCCATCAGCTTGAGATCAGTTACTGGGAGCTTTATGCTTCCAGTACGGGTGGTTTGGGAGCAGAAATAGCAAAAAGACCATCTTCATGGAAACTGCAAAGTGGGTTCCTAAGTGGGAACCAGAGCTTCTCATGGACTTTCACAAGGACTTGCAGTAAAAGAGTAGGGAGAATTGTTCACACATATGAGAGAAGACTGAGATGAAACATGGTTAAGTCTTCAAACTACTTGAAAGGCTGCTGAGAAAAGGAAAGGAATGAACGGGTCTGTGGGGACAGCAGGAGTCACGAACTCGAGCTGTAGCATGGGATATTTGGTGAAACATGATGCAGTAATTCTGGATGTCAGATCTCTCTGTAGAGACTCTGGAATTGCTATCATTGTATGCAGTTTTGAAGACTGGATTAGACATACAGCTCAGGAGAGTTTTGATCTCCCAGTCTTTGCAACAGATGGGCCAGAAAGTCCCTCCTTAGCCCTGTGTTCTGTGATTCTGATGTGGTGTCACAAGTGGTCAAATGTGCCCTGCATATGGGAATAAACCTGAAGTTTAACTGAAAATGTATTTCCAAGCTCCTTGCAAGCTAAACCAGAGCAGAAATTCCCCCATGAGGCTGTGTGTGCATTTTATTTTTCAATTTTAACATGCTCCCAAATCATCAAGGTGCTTCAGCGTACCCCCAGCGTAAAGGACTTGATTCATGTAATTGGATTCAGTAGGATCTGTTCATACAGCCTGTGACTGAGGCCCCATTTTTGAGAAAGTTTTACACATTCTAGTGGTGGTAAGACAATGTATGACTAATGCAGTGATTTGAAAAACTGCCCTATTATCTGATCAAAAGTACAAGCTTGTGAATGTGATACCGCAGGTCTTTTGGCTAAAATATACCTGGAGTCTTCCAAATTCTTAAAACAATCCCATACACAGGAGCAAAAAAGAGACGTATGAACAGCAGAGCCACTGGTTGCCTATTCATCATCACTCATGTGGAATGTTTTACTAAAGACATTTTTATCAGATGCAAAAAAACTCAAGCATGGAATAGCCTCGTCTGGCAAGAGAATGTGTGACAATAATTTAGCTTATTATCCCCAAGATCTGTGATTCATCTTGTGAATCACACATACAGTTCAGGAAGAATCAAAACCTCTTTGAGGTCAGTGGGAAGCATCCAGTTGAGTTCAGGGGACCCTGCTTCTCCTTTCCTATGGGAGTCAGTGAGATTCCCACACGCCTGGGCACATGTGCTCAGAGTGAGCTTGGAAAAGTTCTCTCATCACCTGAGCCACCTCTAAGATGAGGTTGCAATCAAACCAAGCTGTCTTACCTTGTGTAACCAGCAGGAAAAGGAAGACCCCCAGAGGGCATGGTGGGGATGGGCTGGCAGTTGGACTAGATAGATGATCTTAGTGGTCTTTTCCAACCTTAATGAATCTAAGGCTCTACCCCCTGGAGACTGAGATTTCTCTTCCCACTCACCATAGGAACGGTCAGGTTACAATCTTGAACCAAAGATTTTACAAGAAGGCTTGTAGTGTTTGTTAAAAGCGATCATTCTCTTTATCTCTAGACCACCTGGGCAGTAGGCTAGCATGCTAGAAGTGGAGTTGCATTTAACAAAATATATTATATGGCTAAGCTGTGATTCATCTGCTATTTGTGTGTCTTGTACACGTTAATGGAAACACACTGTTCTTCCCTATTAAAGCACTTATGGATTTTTATTTTTTTTAACTAACAAATAACCCCACCTAACAATATTTATCTTAACAAAGAAACATCTCTATAAATCTAATGTCCTGAAACCAGTAAATGACCTCACTGGCTGAGAAGAGTGGTAAAAACTTCTCAGGTCTCTTGACAGGAAGCCCTGGATTTTAAGTTAATAGTCCCGTCATCCCCCCCCCCCCCCTTTTTTTTTTTTTTTTTTCAAGGAAGGAAAAAAAAACACCAAAGCAAAACACTTCTGGAAATTTGCTAAAAAATGGAAGCACATCTTACAGAAATGCAAACTCTTGATTTAAGACTCCTTTAGGAACCCTCCGGTTGGCTGTGAATCCCTAACCAGCCTGTCCCCTACCCCAGACAACTCACATCATACATCCCAGAGGTGCAAAATGACAGTCTGTGCAAGGGACATCGTACCTTTTAGTCTCACTGGAGAAGCAAGCCCATAAAATGGGTCAGGAGTAGGATATACCCAAACTGTAAATCCTGCATGGCATTGTGGTGACATTTGAAAACCAAAAGTCAGACCTTTCTTGCAAACTTAATTTTAACTTAGGGCTAAATGGCTTATTTCTGTAAAGCTACAAGTCACCTGAAGAAGAGTACAAGCACCTTACTAAAGGCAAATGGTATGGAGTTAAAGATTTAAAACAGAGCATAACCTTATCCCAAATCTAATGTTTTTTGATGCAGTATCACAAGTTCTGAAGCTGCATACCCTGTGTCATCCATTAAAGATACACTCCAACCACTCACTATAGGAATTTAGATAAGAGCTGTCTCCAGCATTGCTGTAAACAGAGGATTCTGAAATCACACAGTTTGTTCCTCTGGTATAAGCACTCCTTCTCACTATCAAGACATAATACTGGTTAAATGAAGTATCTGTTCTCATGAAGCAGTCCCCACGTATTTAATTCTAGGCTGCCTTTACCTCCAATTCATTGCACATCAGTTAAGGTCCCACCCAGAAAATGTGGTGACAGTGTAAAGAATGAGGGAGGAACTGAAAAGAATTACCCTAAAACTAAAAATTGAAGTGCTATGTGCTGTGATTGTCTGCTGCATTTGATGTTGACCAGCATGAGTTTACCAGTGCCCTCTTCTGGGTGGACTTTGATCTTCTTACAGCTTATGAGCAATTCAACACTTCTTAAGCATCTGAGCTAAAAAGCTCTGAACAGTGGTGATAATTATATGCTATCTCAGTATTGGCTTAGACAGAAAAAGACAAAAGCATTCATTGCCTCTAAATTCTGTGCATGAATCTGGAACGAAGTATTGTTCTTTTTATCTGATCTTACGCAAAGCACAGCCTTTTTCCTCCAGGGTCAGGATCTCAGATACTGTAGCTAAATAGTTACAGGACTGCAGAGCGTCTTACACCATAAAAAAAAAAATTATGTGAAGGTCATTTTTAGTGCTCCCAAATTCCCTCTATGGAAGATTTAAGAAGTAACAGAGAGAATCTGCAGGTATTCATGTCACATCTTGTTTTCAGAAGGACTTGTCTATTTCCCCCTTGCTCCACAGCAGAGCCTTGTTTTTAAGTCCAGGATCTACCTTGCACAGTCTGCATACTCACATATGCTGCTCTGTGACAGCTGATGGATTATGGACCATCCAGTGCTGGGTGCAAAGGAAGCATTTTATGAAATGGAAATTACAACTTAAAACTTGCAAATCAATGGAGAACTGACTTTTTTGACCTTTACTGTCATGGGAATCGTGATGAATTCCAACATGCACATTCAAATCAAAGTACTAACTCAAGCTGCAATCAATAAGCAATCACACTACTATTGAGGCAAAGCCACAGCTGGAGAAACTTCACCCTGAGTCTGTTTTTGGCATTGTCATAGGATCCAGAATTCCCTAAAACTAGGAAAAGAAATGAAACTGCTTGGTCTCCTATGCCCAAAGTTATTGGTTTTGTAAGGGATCCTAGGGAATTCCTTATGAGGTGTGAAACAGGAGAAGGACATCTCTTTTGGCCCCTCCTGGACTTGGTATCAAGTCCTTGGTGGGAAATCATAGCTCTGAGACATTCCAAATGGTTCAGTACAAGGATACACCTGTCACAGTCTCTGAAAGATGGCCAGTAGTGGATGCTTAAAAAAAAAAATTTAAAAAAATGAGTGCAATAAATTAAATTCATCAAGAGTGATCTCTTCTTTGGTTATATCCTTCCAGCAGCCAGAATTGAAGGGACTTCCTGAATCAGAGCTGTGTCCAGACCATCACAATTAGCGTCCTCTGGGAGTCTGAGGGCAACTGAGTCTACTGAGGGCAAAAAAATAATTGTGATTGAGATGGTTGTTGTTACTGCCAGCTTGGACATCAGCTCACAGAACAGAGATAAGGGCTCTCCCATTTAATTTCCTTCTTTGTGTTTTCTTTTAGCACCACCACATTGCCTTCCTATATCAGGATAACCAATGGCTACATCACAGTCAAACCTCCCATTTGGATTTCCAACCGGCTGGACCAGAGGCCACGCTCAGATCACCCATCCCAGCCTCAGCCTACAAGCTCAGCCTCAGCCACCATATTATGGCCATCAGTGACTGCTCCTCTCTACATGGCCATAGCTTCATTCCTCCTGAATCTACTGCAGCCTTCCTGACAACATTAGTATTACGTGCAATCCCTTGGAATAGAGAAGAGAGATAATTTATGAACGAATTGGATGTTTTGACAGCATTTCCAGACTGGACCTTCTCAGTGAATCAAGAGTGCCTTCTAGCTGATTTTGTCTCTTTGCCCAGATACATTTTGAAACTCTAAAGCTTTATTGTAACACTGACTTACATCTTCTTTTTGTAGAAGGATCTTTATTTCCCATAGTGCTATGGGGTTTTGTAAAATATTCATGTTCATATAAAGAAAAAAGAAAAAAAAGTGTATTTATTCGACTGGTAAACTTATTTTTTTCTTGTTGTATATGTCAATAACATCCCTAGTAATCAGTAGCGATGGTGAAACAGATAAATTAATATTTTCTATATTTGTTTTTTAACTGACAACTCTGCAAATGCCTGAAGTGGCACCAAAATGAATGGCTTGTTTCTTTAAACATAACTTCTTACAGCAACCAGTAAGTACATTTGTACTCTATTTTGCTTTTTCTAAAATTCTCATTAGAATAACTTAGACTAAATAAAGCAGATCCCCTTATCTGCGGCCTATGCCCAATAGAGGGATAAGTGCACTCTCAAATCAGCTGCTACAACCTAAAATCTCAGTTATTTTTGTATGACTTAGTAAGTCGTTAGTCAAGATAACCCTCTATGTTCCCCAGTTGTCTTTAACTCAACCATTCACCTTCTCTAGAAATTACCAATCTCCCTTTTTAGCCTGAGATTAAGACATCTTTCTCTTAATAAAAGGTTTCATTTTAACTGCAGTAATCTCACTGGAATTATTCTCTCCCTCTTTTTATATAAACACAAGCCTTCAATCCTTCCCAGCATGAGAGCAGGACTTGGTCTGTCTATAGAGCATGAAGATGCAATATCGTGCTAATCTGTAGAACTGCTTTATTAATTCAATTGATAAATAGATAGTCAACCTGCAGGGAGGGAAGGAAATGTCTAGAAATCATCGGCATCTTGCTATTATGCTTAGAGTTGGAATCCTCATATTGAATTATAATCTGTCCACAATCTCTTCAAGGCTACAGGAACCAAGGTAATTCCTCTGTCATGCAAAACCTCTCCTCTGTTTGTAGACTACGTCCATCTAAGTCAGTAGAAGGATTAAGTTCTGACAACTTGCACTCAATGAAAAAATTCACCCAATCTCCAAGCAGCTACTTCTCATTAATCAGATGAACATCATCTATGGGAAAAAAATACATCCATCTTAATAACAGCCATGTTTAGTAAGGCTGTTGTTAATTTTTTCCCCAAAAACACAGGATGAAAAAAAATGACTTTCACTGCAAAAAATCCTAACTTTTTTTTTTTTTAAATAGTCTTTTTTTTTTTTCCCCTGAAGTCATCTGCAGTACAAAAATCTGAAGTGTCATGAAAATATCTTAAAGAAGAACTGAAAATAAAAAAAGGAAAACACAATCCATCTATGAAAAAGCATTGCTTTTTCACCTTAAGAATCACATTCAGATAATGACAGCAATCACAATAACACTGACAAAAACCTGACTGTTATTGGGCTGGCAGCAGCATCACCTTCAGAACTAGAGACAATTCCATGTCATCTTTAGGTCTCCTGAGTGGAAGATGGTTCAGGATTCACAGTTTGTTTGTCACCAGAATAATGAGTCAGGAAAAAAGCTTAGGAAATAATCAGCCTGAAATAAGTACGTGGTTTTATTTGGAACCATGATAAACCTGAGCTTTTCCACCATGCATCCCAGCCCATTGCTTTGCCAAGGCAAGGGAGAACACTCTACTTTCATCCGACTTACTACAGCCCATGACTTCCAGCTCTTGCTTTATTTTGGAGAAAAGAATGTATAGATTTGTGATTGACTTAAGTGGGTGCAGCAGACAGCCGTGTAAGCCGCCCATGTTTTATAAAGCGCAATAGTTGATAAGACTGAATGGAAAACTTCAAGCTTTGCCCCAAATAGGAGATTCAAGCACACCCTGTGCATACTTCTGTGTTGTGTATTTTGGCTAGCAGAAGATTAGAGATGTTAGCTTTGGACAGAAGCCATTCACCTTGCATAATATTTATTGCACTGAGTTAGATATTGGAAACATATTTTGAGAACTTTCATTTCAGTTTTATTTGTCCATTTCCCCCAAAGTGGCTTCATTTGAATATAATGGCTTAACAGGCCTTCAAATTCAACCTTAACACATTCTAAAAGATTGGTTCTCCTGCCATATTCAAAACAGAGTTCAGAACTGAATGACAGGGCGTTAGTTACAAAAATTGAGCTGGAAATAAGGTAGGCAAGTCATAAGGGTGATGATTAGTTCACGGTAAAAGTGAACAGCCAATGAATCAAAGCCCATTTAATTTTATTTGCTGTAATCTGATCAAGTCCAGAAATGATTCTGTGGTGCCATACCAGAAATAATTCCCAGTGTCAGAGAGCTTACAGAACTAATAGATAAAACCATACGAAGATCAGAGGAAAAAAAGGAGTAAAAAAACAGAAACAGCATGGCCAGGACCATAAGGAAAACCACCAACATGATCAAGACTGGAACCTACAGTTCCACTCTACCCAACCCGTGGTTTTCTCTGTAGGACTCTTAGTCTTTTTTCTTTTTTTATTATAATGAGCATGCAGCCACAGCCACAGCTGTCACTGTACCACACAGAATAATCACTCAGTTTGTCACTAATAAATATTTCCTGAGTCACTCCTCCAATGGACAGTAATAGTAATACTAGATACTAGCTCCTATATCACAGCGTGTTTGGATATCACGGTATGTAAATAGCTTGGACATCAAAGCTATGATGTCATACATTGTGGCATATTTACATTTCTTGGCATTTTGCCTATAGTCTCTGCGAAATGAGTGAGCACTGCTGGAGGTCGCCGCATTTCACTTATCCTTCTGCCCAGTCATCCTGCAGTGCAGGTGTCCAAGGAGAGTATCTGCTGGGCTTGGAGCCAGCAGCACCCTTCTGCCAGCTCACACCATCACCCCTGGCTAGGGAAGAAGAAACCACTTGCAATAAGTTTAAGAGAAGATGCTTCTCACAGATACTAGCTCAGGAACCCCAGCTGAATGGCTTCGGTGCAGTTTGCTGACCAAGTATTTCTTATTTTGTCTTCCCTAAGCTATGACTTTGGGTAACTTGTTATTCTTTTTAAAATCCTTGGCAAGTAAGGATCGCAGTACTAGAAAATGAGACCCTCACTGTGATTAATAAAACAGGTTATTTATTAATCAGCTACACTAGCTCAGTATTAATTGAAATACATCAGTACTGGTGTACTGGCACAGATCTATGCACATTGGATCATGATTGTATTCCGTGTGATTTTATAGTGTATATCAGATTTGATGGATGTTCTGGAAGTAACACTGACTACCAGCTTCACGGGGCTTCACTTTTATTCAGTGGATTTCTCAGAGAGTGAGGATCCAACTGCTTTCCTCTCTTTCTGATGAAAACTCAGATTTCCAGTGACAAATTCCAGGAGAGAGGGTTTTAAAAATAAATATAATCCACACTGTGTAAGACAGCAAATACTGATGATAGCATTTACTTGTAAGAAACACAATCAAGAGAGTCATTCAGTGTCTAGCAAACAGGTACACAAATGTTCCACACTGTTGGGCCCACAGTTGAACGTTTGTGTGATTCACCCTATCAACTCAGCTGCAACTGACACTACTGCAATTCAAAGTATGTGTAGTGGTAATATTAGAAAGGAATGTTGTTTTCTACCAAGCTATTGTCCCAGTAAATACACCATACCACCAGCAACAGGACTGACTTCCACTCTGTAATTGTTTCAGTGTTTCTCTTGCCAATGTTTAACTACAGATGCTGTATTAACATGCATCGCCACTTGAAGAACCAGTCAGTAAGCTGCAACAGAAGGTATGTTGTATTTTATGACTGATGCAGTTTCTCTGCAATCCCTTGGGCTGCTGAATAATGCAGTACTTCTTCCAGAAATAAATGAAATGATTTATAGTAACTATGCTTCATACAGGTGTCAAAAATCTACTCTGTTGAACTTCCCATTCCTCCAATCTCCAGCATAATTTAGGAACACCCAAGGTACAGAGCTGTATGTTTGTCTTCAATATACAATGATGAGACAGAGGAAAAGAGCACTATGCTCAGTGCATTGATTAGTAGAATGATAAATCCCAATCAGTCCTTACATATACCACTGTTCGAGAGGAGTTTCCCATCATACCTTTAAGTCAGAGAAACCAAAGTGCCATAGTGGTTATCACAGTTATCACTCCTCACTTCGCGTAGTACCGTAAGACATTTCTATTTTATATCCAAAAAGCACAGGGGCTTGCTTTATCTCCAGAGTGATCAACATAGCATGCAAGATTTCAGCTTCAGCCTGTTTTGGCTTAATTGGAGCAGAGAGCCAGCTTCCTAATTTTGAGCTCATGGGCTTGAGTGTCTGTACAAGTGTTTGTGGGTGCACATGTGTGCTTTGTCCCAACCTAAATACAGACTTTCCTGCATCAAGCTCTTCAGGAGGCACCTTAATCTAGCTACAGCAAGATCTTGCCAAGTAGTAATCCACATTTCTCATTTACAGGAATGATTAACTGCCCTGTAGATTCATGCTCACACTGAATTTTAAATTGCATGTTTGTCAGTTTTTGATTCAAATGTATTTCAAATATTTTTTCCTGTTCCGCCTCCTGCTTTTGTGAACTGTTTTGAAGAGTGTAATAAAAAGATGCTTTCTAATATTATTTTGTCAAAATATTTTTGTAGCATAATATATTAATAAAAAGTTATTATAAATCCGTAGCACAAGAATCTTGTATGTCTAAGTTCTTTCTTCTACACTAAAGGTATGGAAGAACTAAAAAAAAAAAAAAAAAAAAGAAAAAGGAGCATGCAATTATAAGATTTTTCCAATACCAGCACTGGATGGAGAAATTGTACTCTGGGGAAGGGTCCTCTTAAAATAACGTGGGTTTGTTACATTCATTTGGGCAGAGATGTGGAGAATCTCACCGTTACCTTTTTGTATGTGAAAAAATTGCTTCACCTGGTGTGCAAGGAGTCATTCTGAAGCAGTCTCAGCCTTTGGTCTTTGTCACTTGGGAGAAACCACTTGGTTAACCTCTGCATGTCTGGATGTGAGCTGGAGAAATGCTCTGCATGGTCCATAAAGGATCTGAGAGCCCTGTTTTCCTCTTCTATGTCAAGGGTTTGGAGCAGTGTTGGCATTGCTGTCACAATGCCCGGCAGTTAGAAGCCCAACCAAGATACAGAGATTTCCTGATGGCATATCCTTTCTGTTCTCCGCATTCTGCCTTGCAGCTGACCTTGCAGGCTTTTTGCTGATCACAGAATTATTGTTTGGTTCTTAATTACGTAAAAAATTATTTGCTCTTTAACACAGTGTAATTCAGAAGATACCACTAGCAAAGCTGTTTTAGAAACACCCACCACCAGGAAATGTAGTGTGAGGCACAGGCACTTGAGATAGAACTGAACTAACCATGGCACAGGAAGGGATTGCCATTGAGCATAAAGGGCAATCAAGAAAGATTCCACCTCTTGAAATACCAGGCAATCCCCATCCCAGTTCTCCCAACCAATCCCTATGGCCCAGCCACGGCCCTGACTGTACCCCCTGACACACTGCCAGCTATTCCTAGCCCCAACCCATCTCCTCCAGCGAAGTCTTTTCACTCTGAAGCATCCTGCCCAGCCACAGGCCTAAACCCCATCCAACCCTTCAGTCAGCACAGCCAGATACCA